TTTTATTTCAGTATTAAGTTCTGTTTAAAGTAACAGATTAAAATAAAAAATGACTCTGGACCTTTACTGGTTGATTTTTCTTTATTCAGACCCCGCTGATTTTTAATTGGTTACCCCTCTCCTACATCACGACCAAAATGTTGTAGCTGAGAACCGATTGTTCAATAAGTTCCTCATTCCTGTTTAAAAAGAGAAACGGCTTTCACCCACGTTTAGCTACTTTACTGTACAGTTAATGTTTTTTTTTTTTTTTTTTTTTTGCTCTCTTTTCTTTTTAGGAACCAAGAGTTTTCAACCCAACTGGTAGTTTGCGAATAACGGCTGTCGACTGTGGCATCAAGTATAATCAGATCCGCTGCCTTGCTCAGAGGGGAGCCTGTGTTACCGTTGTTCCTTGGGACCATCCGCTGGATGCTAACGGTCAGTACTTCATGCTTTGATCTGGTAAACGGGTTTATTTCATCAGGTTCCTCTTTATAAGACGTTATTCCTTTTTTAATTCCTAGGAGGATTATCCTAATTTTTTAGTTTCTTTGATTGCCAAACATCTTGTTTTTTTTTGTGTTGCTCAACCTCTCCTGGGTTTTTCTTTGCTTTGCCATGAAAGTCTCCTAATTTTAATAAACGACTTCTCTAGTGTTGCTTTTTAGAATGTGAACACTTCTCGATCTTTTACTAACAGTTTTATTGCTTTGCAGATTTTGATGGTTTGTTCATCAGTAACGGTCCCGGCGATCCCCAGTTCTGTCAGGCCACCATCAACAACGTGAGGAAGGTGGTTTCTGTGGATCAGCCAAAGCCAGTTTTTGGGATCTGCCTCGGACATCAGCTGCTCTCTCTGGTCATTGGAGCACAAACCTACAAGATGAAGTGAGTTTCCTCTCTTAACTGTAGATTTTCATTCACTAAAGTGATTGATTGAGCCTTCAGATAGTCGTCCTGTTGTCTGGTTAAGATTTTTTTCAAAGCATGACGGAGAGAAATATCAAACCAGGTTCCCTGATCCAAGGAAGATTCCCAAAATCTTCCATCTATGGCATTTTTCCCCTCTTTGTTTGGGACAGTTAAGCCATGAAAGACGGCTTTTTGCTGCCCTCAGCAGTCTGGCAACCCCGAATGTGCACTGGAGATTTGGACCCGTCTGAATCTGCAACATAAACCCAGCGACCCTGAAGGGCCATCTTACAGAGATTAGGGAGCCCACTGTTTGGTCGTTTTTTCTTATCAGGACACCAAACATTCCCACTGCTTACTGGAATGTTATTGACACCTTGAAAGATAAATAAGTAATGGTTTGCTTGGATTCCTCTGTATAAAAAAAAAAAAGCACTTTTTTAACCATTTGGTTTCCTTTAAAAAGTGGGGATTACTTTTTTCTACTTATTACAACTTTAGTGTATTTTATGATTTAATTAAGCTGGTATTAAGGGTATGGATATATGAAGCGTTCACTTGAGCATCTAATTCAGATTTTTAATAAAACAGATAAATCACTACAAAAAAGTGGAAAAAATGTTTTCAAACAACTTATATTGCTCATATGGAGGATAAAAAGTGCCAAAATTAAATAAATACAGCATTAAATAAATAATTAAATGTGTCAATAATTAATTAAATGTGGAATTAAATAAATAAATGTGTCATTCATTAATTAAAACCACGTCACTAATATAAAGTGCCACAATTAAATAAATAAATACAGCAATAAACAATTAATTAAATGTGGAATTCATTAAATAAGGAATTAAAAAGATTAATGTGTTGTTAATTTAATAAAATTGTTTTCATTTTATTAAAAAATATATATAATTTGAGTGTGCATCTAATTATTTTACGGTCCTGTGTCGCAGTGCATCGAAACCATTAAAAGAATCTGTCAAACTCACCCATCAAAGTTAGGGGGCGGGGTTAACGCGAATCGAGTCTCAGTAATCGATTTGCTTCGCCTTAATATGCAGGGCGACCAATCAGGTGTTAGATAACCGCCCCCTAACTTTGATGGGTGAGTTTGACAGATTCTTTTAATGGTTTCGATGCACTGCGACACAGGACCATGAAATAATTAAATGCACACTGAACTAATATACCGTAAATTCTCTAATATAGGCC